GTTTTGATTTCCCCCTGTTCAGAAGCTTTGTTTTGTATATTTAAATCCCTAAGGGATCCTCCTCTAGGAAGGCCCGCGTTCTGCGTCGGGTAGCTAAGTTTCTTACGTAACGATTACGGTAATCACAAGGCTAGCAGCTGCTCACGCGGCTTCTGATTTTCTTCCCACTCTTCCTCCCCTCCAAGCAGGGGATGAGAGGGGTTGAGAAAGTCACGAGGGACAGTTGAACACTGTCTACTGCTTCTGGGAAGAAACTGCCCTTCGGGCTGCGGTACAGGGACCAACAGCAGGCCGACTGCACCTACCCTACTTCAAATCTGCCCAAGTTTTCAGCTTGCCAGAGCACTTAGAAACAGCATCAAGAGGTCATCGGCCTCATTCGCGCACCGACACTTGCTCGCAGCAGCCTGTCGATGGTTAAGGACCAGCTCGGGAACGCGCATCGCCGACCACGCAGCCTGCGCAGTGCCCAGCGCCCAGACCCGGCAGAGCGAGAGACTCTCGGCACACACCCATTTCCACGGGTTTCTGCGGAAGACAGCAAAACAAGCTCGGGATGCTTGAGACAGTCCCTTTGTCCTGGAGCTCTGTGGCCTAAGCACTTACGCGAGACGTGCTCAGTGTCACCATGAACGAGCTCCCAGTGCCAGAGGTGAGGGCTCCAGCCACACATGTGCTCACAGAAGAGCAGGAGTTGGATGGATTTCATGAAGAGCATGATGTGGAGGGCTGGGCGATCGGCTCACTGAACCACCACAGATGGTGTGTTGCTGGGTCACGGGTTTTGTACCAAGTCTGGACAGCAGGGACGTTCCTGAGAGCTTATGACACGTCAGTATCTAAAGATTGCTCTTTAATGGGCAGCTTGCTCCTGGCAAACCCACAGGAAGGCCAGCGCAGGCTGCGGCCGTCTGAAGGCTTACGACAGAGGTGCACAAAGGTGACGACCTCCTCGCACACTATTCCAAAACCGGTCGAGGTTTCCCGTACAAATTCGAACCTGAAAACCAGGGACTCAGGCGATACCTGCAGGCCCCGACTGCAGCTGTGCACACCTGCACTCTGCCTCTCTCCTGGTGTTTGGCACCACGTGGCCCACAGTCAACGGAGCTGCTGTTTTCTCAGCACGCCTTCTCACTCTGCTGTAACTTGTGTTCTAGGACGACCAGGACAGCCAATTCTCCACACCCTCCCAAGCCTCATCCATCCTTGGCTGCTCCAAGCCTCATCCAGCCTGGCCCTGGACACTTCCAGGGACGGGGCATCCACAGCTTCTCTGTGCCTCCCACCCTCTGCGGGAAGAATTCCTTCCTGATATCTAATCTAAACCTCCCCACTTTCAATTTAAATCCATTACCCCCTGTCCTGTCACTACAGGCACTTGAAAAAAGTCCCCCCCAGCTTCCTTGTAGCCCCCTCCCAGGTACTGGAAGGTGCTATAGCGTCTCCCTGGAGCCTTCTCTTCTCCAGGCTGAACACCCCAGCTCTCCCAGCCTGTCCCCATGGCAGAGGGGCTCCAGCCCTCGGAGCATCTCCGTGGCCTCCTCTGGACTCGCTCCAACTGGTTTATGTCCCTCTTATGTTGAGGCTCCAGAGCTGGACGCAGCACTCCAGAGGGGGTCTCACCAGAGCAGAGCAGAGGGGGAGGATCCCCTCCCTCACCCTGCTGGCCACACTTCTGATACAGCCCAGGATATGAAATCAACAGGAGCACCTGCAATTTCTGACCAGGATCTTGGAACATTTAAAACTCAGGTGCTAACAGATCAGTAGGTACCCCCTGGTTGTGACACCACACAAGATCGCTGTTGTCTTGTATGCATAAGCAACGCTTGCTATTCCTTTCCCGAGTGGAAGGAATGGCAGCTTCCCTCTTCAAAACGCACCTACTGTTGCCAGGCGGCAGTGACCTCATTGCAAGTTATTTCCATGGCCACCAGCTGTTTGCTTTGAGTTACTGGTGGTTTCTTGTGGAGCAGTTCAAACTCAAAATAGCTTAGCATGGGCCAAGCTCAGGCCACTGCCACCCTTTTTGAAAGCACTTCCTGTTGCTCTTACTACATTCCCTCTTTAACTCGTCTTCCACACCGCGACGGACGGCAGAATTCACTTGAATCAGCACTGGCTTTCTCTGGCCTACACGCAGTGCCTGAGGTCAGTCCCTGGCCTCAGGAGACCTGCAAAAACTACTGCAACCACCCACCACCCCTCCTGGCTGATGAGCATTCGGGAGACACGACTGGCTGAGCCACCCTGCCCGGGGAGGACTTTGCTCACAGAATGAGCAAGAATTTCAGTGCTGAAAGGCCTTACCAAGCAGGATTTTATTCCTGAGGAAAGCGTCAGCTGGGAGAGACCTCACTCCAAAAGCATAACTTAACCATCCACTGCAACCTTTGTTAGCAATCCACGGGCATGCAACAGAACACCTTTTTGTTTGAAAAATCCAGCCCTAAAAAAAGGCCAGAGGAGTGCAGGCAACGAACTACTCAATTAGCCATGGCTGAATCATCAGGAAACATGCGCCGAGATGTCACCACATGCTGGTAAGTCACCGGCGGTGCTGCCAGCATACCTGCGCTGCCGTGAGCACACAGCTAACACCTCTGCACAGCCCAGCTGGTTCTGCTCAAGCGCGTGCCTGCTGCTCGCGGGACGGCAGCAAGGGTTGAGAACGTCGTCCGCGCAGCCGGCCTCGAGGCCTCCTCCCGGGTACGGCCCGGAGCTGGCTGTGGTACAGCTGCTGCTCTTGCGGCCACCACGCCTGCTGGCTCTGGGGTGCACTTACAGCAGACCAAACTGCACGTCTAGATTATCGCCAGCACGGCGCGATGATTAACCCAGGACTGAGGGAATAGACAAATCTGCCCTCCTAATCATTACACTGGCAGTTAATGACAAGGTTTTTTGCCTAATTGAAACAATTCTGCTGTCACTCCAGACAGGAGGATTTAGCATGAAATGAGGAGCCACAGCAACCCCTTGTAACAAGCTCTGCCAGCTGTACAGCACTGCCCAGAGTCTGCTCCTGAGCCTCCACAACTCCCTGCAAAGGCTGAGATCCAGTTGTTTCTATCTGGACACGTATCGCACCACCCAGCTCTTCTCAAATTTCAGGCTGTGTATTTCAAATTCGCATTTATTCGCTACTGTTCTCACTGACTTTCCTTCCCGTAACTAGGTAACGCTAAAGCTACCCCCCACACACCTTCTCTCCATGGGCAGAAAGCAGTCAGCTTTGGAACAGCCACCCACCCTCGTCTCCCTGTTCGCGTTTGTTGTACGCAGGCGCAGCTCGGCCCTCTGCTCAGCTGCCATGCCACCACGTACAATCCCGCGAGCCTCGCCTCTACTTCCAAGTGTCACTGCCTAACACGCAGCATTTTAAACCCACGCTCAGGTATATGTAACCCACCCTTTTCAGCGATGCTGAGGAGCTACAGTTCAGCCACTTGCACTCTGCCTCCCCCTGGAAGGACACTCTCCCCTCTGATTTTCATCAAGCTCCTGCCAGAGGTATAACCTGTAAAAATGTCTGTGAAATGAAAAAATGCACTGTTACAGGTTTGAAAAATTGCACTGATCTGCATGGGTAGTACTTGGTGCAGCCAAGCTTCCGGGAACTTTCATCCCAACCTCAAGGCATCAGCTCGAACAGCTTCCCTGACAAACGCTTGCTGCAATCACCCACACATAAATGGCAGTGGTACTGCCCCTATCCACACTCCGCACTTCTTCCCAGCAGTAAACCATCGGCTGATGCTTTATTCAGCCACGTCGTAATGGCAGCTGCTGGTACCAAATGACGTTGGTGCTTCCCAGAGCAGACGTCCCCTCCTAACACGGTCACCGGGCAGAAGAAACTAGAAAGAGCTGCTTGAAAAACCCCAAAGCAAACCCATAGCAGGCCCTGTACTGAACACAACCGTGTCCTTCCAAAGTGCTTAGGCAGAGGCACTACAGCACTAAGAGAGCTTGTTGCTCCTCTGTCTGCAAAGGCTCCTGAGAAGCGCTCGTAGAGCAGCAGTTCCACGTCGGCTTTGCTCATTGCTACCCTCACAGGGAGAAAACTACTTCTCACCCCAGTGACATCGACAGCTTCGTGCTGGGCCGCACACAGGCACTGGCGTTTAGCTGTCCCGACAAGCCCTTTTCCCTGCTATCAACCACGCGTCATGCTTCCAGGAAAAGCAGGCGGCTGGGTCACTGTTCCAAGTACTGTTTTGGAGTAGTTCGCACAACGCTGACGCCGTAACACAGCGGCTCAGCAGCGCCTGCTGCAGAGCAGCATTTCAGTTCCCAGCCGCCACACAACGCAAAAGACTAAAACACCCAGGGAACGGTGGGCTAGAGGCTCTCTAGGGAAAGGATAACTGGCCTGCATCGGCAGAACAGACTTCATCATACTGAACACATCTCTCTATCTGAACCCTTTTCCCTGCCTGTATGCCTCCAAGGACACGGAGCTACCAGCAACCAAGCTAAAGCTCCAGAGATGCTTTTGGATGCTCCAGGAAAACCGGCCCTAGGAAAAAGCTCCCACAAGTCACTTAAACCTACTTTGGATGCATCACCTGGCCGCACAGCCACACTGCACCCCGGTAGCATAACCCTCCCTATGTACCTGGCCCCAACTGCACACCTACGAACAAGTCGGGAGAAAACTCAGGAAGGATTACACATGGGGCACTTAGACCCAGGACAGACACAAAGAATCCTTTGAACAGAAAGTCACAAATACAGCTCCAGGGCGAGAGCCGCGGGCCAGTAGGATACTCGGAAATGGGAACTGCGGAACTCCCTCTGCTTGAGGAGTTAAACCCACAGTGCCTGAGAGGACTGCTGCCCCACAGCCTGCAGCAGGAAGTGGCCTAAGTCTTGACAGCTTGTCCAAACATGCAGGAGGAGGCATCACGAGAAACGCTAACGCACCGTACTGGACTCGCACCCTAAGAGCGCAAGCCTGCTTTTATTGACCCAGTAAACCGTGGCAAGAGAGATCAGTTCCCTTTCAGTATAACATAGAGCACCGGGAGGGTAATAGCAAACACAGCGCAGGTCACCGCTGTGCTATAAAGAGAATTTCTCTTGATTTGTGCCTCCAGCCTCCGCTCGGTGTCAGACAATTCTAAAATCACATCTCTCATGGCAGAAGCCTGGCCCTTACCCTCCACTGAAGACCTTGGCATCGCTCTTTCCGTAGGGCTGGAATGAACGGCAAGTTTAACGCCCTGCACCTCGGAGAGCACATGCGCTATGCTTTCCTGCACGCTGGTCCACTGCTGCTGCAAACTCTCTAGATGTGAGCTGACTTGCCTGCTGTAGTTCAGCTGTTCGTTTAGAGGAATTAGAAGAGAACCTATTTTTAAGGAGTCATTCCTGTCTTTTCCAGTTAACAACGCGCCTTCTTGCACCTGCTGTGGTGACCTGGTTTGCAGCACGTTTTTCAGCTCTGCTATGACGTCGCTGAGATCCTTCTGCTGTAAGTGGTGGCTGGAGGCCTGCTCCTTGATGGCTTCTTGCAAGTTTATCGGGCCCTTCTGTGCTTCAAGCACCAAGACTTTCAATTCTTGCAGCCTCACCCGATTAACATAGGTGGAACCAAGAACCCCTATGATGGCTCCCAGCACAGAACCAATAATAGACCAGTTCTTCGTCTTTTCAGCTCTTGTTCGCTCTTTCTCGTGGCTTTCCCTTACGGCCGCAGAGAAGAGAGAGAACTTTTCCCTCTCAGATTCTTCCGCATTTAAATACGCGGTTCGGTACCTCTTCTCTTCCTGCAAGAAATACAGCGATTTGAAGGAAAAGGCGTAACATGACCTCCCAGAGTCTGCACTTCCTACGCCCCCGCCAAAAGCCCAGTGCAGATGAAGGAATGGGAAGGAAGAATATCTGCTAGCTCTTTCCTAAGTTTTCCTTTTAATGTGGGATTTTTTATCCGCCCTGCTCTGGTCGGGCAGACTCACTAAGTCACAACTGCAAAACAGAAAAGGCCACCAGACCCTCTCCACAAGAACGTGTCAGGTGCTGAGGACAGAAGAGGGGGATGCGCCAGCAAGGTCCTTCTCTCCCCGTAACACACACTTTTCCAGCCCCGTCAACTTCT